ACATAAAAGTTTTTCTTTAGCTGGTGAAAGTGGATAGAATCGTTGCTTTATTGCCTTTGCATTGGATGTGTCGATATTGTGCTCTAACAACCTAGTTAATCCTAAGCCCTCGTTCTCGAATGATGGAAAAAAGTCTATTACTTTCTGCAATTTTGATTTTTGTAAATCGGACAATCTCACATTATTCGAGTGTTCTTCCGGTTCACAGTTAATTTCGTTGATCGCAACTGTTTGCTTGATCGAAATGCCAAAATTTTGCCAAAAATCCATTCCGCATATAACTTCATGCTTTATCGAAGGTACTATCAGGAATTCAAAGTTGTCACTAATTGAGTTATAAGTCAGGGGAATGTGTATCGTGCCTGCAACATATTGCGATTGCCCATCAGCGGTTCTCACTACCGATTTAAATTTATTAAACGGCTTAGCTGAAATTATTTGTTTTGCTAGCTCACCACCTATAACGCTTTTGTTGGCGCCACTGTCCAAGAGAGCTAAATACGGTTGACCAAATATTTCTATGTTTGTAAAAGGCCGAATATCGCTTTTGTTTTGTGCGATTGAGGAAATCATAAAACGATTTAATGATCGCTTACGAGTCCAAAATTTACGAATTCGCCGTGAAGATCGCTGTTTGCGACGATAAACAGGATTAGCTTGCAAAATTTGGGATCTACGCTTTGCGTACTCCTGTACCCGCAAATGGTATGGGTTAAAAGGTTTGGTTTCTGATATGTCTGGTTGAAAGGTAGGCAAAATGGAATGAACATCATTTGCCACAAAATCTGGTTCTGTTGGTATTTTCGAAGCTAGCGGCGGACATCCGTTTTCTTCGCGTAACGAATGTCCTTCTTGGGGTTTTCCGAAACCGAATTACATTTTGCACAGTTGGGCTTATACACCTCCGGTGTTCCACAACCATAACAAAAAATACGACGAGGTTTAAGGCAATTGTGGTAACTGTGGCCTGTTTCCTCACAGTTCCAGCACTTAATTTTCTCAGCCGTCTTAACTACACAAATTTCATCCTCGACCTCACGTTCTTCCTCCGACTGAGATTCTGAATCTTCTTCCTGCAGAATTGCGTTAACGAAACGCTTGCTTGGGTTCGAACGTTGAATGGGCTTCATTCGGGTGTTAAGAAAGAATTCTTCGTGCCTGTGACACTCCTTTCGCAATGTTGCTAAGTTTGGGGTGTCAATGTGCAATAATTCGTGCTTGATCTCCGGTCTGAGATTATGACGAACTTCTACCGCAATTTCACTGTCCTGCATTGGTTCACGAAGGGAATCTGCGATGGAAAGCATTGCATCCAAAAAGTCATCAAAATTTTCCGTGTTACCCTGTTTGCGTCTACGCATGGCACATTTAATCTCACGATCAGATCTCTGATCTTGATATCTTTCCTTTAAACGCCTGCAAAGCAAGTTCCAATTCATGTTATCTGCCGATCTATGAACGCGCCAGTAAAAGGCTAATGCAGGGCCTGCGAACAGTAAGTTAGCAAAATGGGAGAGAAGTTCAAAGTTGCCGTTCAGGCATTGTGAAGTGAGGCAATTGACACGGTAAATAAAATCTTCTATAGCAATGTCGTTAGCTGAACCACTAAATTTAATACGCCAATTGGATATAATATTCGAAATTCTGTCTGGTCGATCCAGAGAGAGATCACTTCGATCACTGCGAAAATCTGTTGAATTCCTAGCCTGTTGAATGTTGTTTCGATCTGAGTTGGCATCGGAACCGTCTCGACTGAAATCTCGCTGCGGCTCACCTTGTCCATTATTGGCAAATGTGGACCTATTCAATTGTGTGAACGCCAAAGTTATTTGTTCTGTAACTGACTGCAGCATGTTAGCTTGGAAGGTCTGCATTGACTTCTGAATCAATTTTTCCACGTGATCTTCCGTTACCACCCTCGAGTCTGAGTTACCCTCGCTACGAATTTCCTGCAGTGAATTTTGCTCAGAACCACCGTTTTGCTTTGCCGCATTTCGCGACGCTGAACGTGTCTGTACCTTGTGTCCCTGAGATCTACTAAGAGGAGCCGAATGAGGTCCTACCTCGGGTTGAGAGAAAGTTTGGCCACACCTGGGGCATTTGTCGTTGTTCTTGCTATAATTGTCAAGGCAAAGCTTGTGGAAAGAATGCTTGCAACGGGCTTCAAGTAAATCCAGATTACACACTGGTCCGTTGCAGATGATGCAATTTGCAGACTCATCAGTCTGAAGATCTACTAAATTTTCATTGCTGTGTGTCAACATTTTTGACGCTTTTCGAAATATAAAACAAAAAAAACGAAATGAGATACGGTAAGATAAGATAAGATACGATATAACGAAAACAAACTGGTCGTTCGAGATGAATACGATATACGATAAATGAGAAATGCAGTTTAGGTCTTACCCTGGGTAGTATAGCAATTGGTTGTGTCATTCAATAGGTACAAATGTTGTAAACGGAATGTAAATAAAGGGTAGTAAAATAAATATCAATTTATTTTGTCTTACCAATTAGAAGAGTAACTAGCCGAATCTATCCAGCCAGATAAAATCTCGATCCTAACTGATAAGAAGGTAGTGTTTGAATATTGAAATCCTGGTATAGAACCGACTTTGAATCAGAACTATAATTCCAAGGAATCAATTACTCAAATTGGAATGTTCTTTTAACTATAATGTTCGATTATTACCGAACTGATAGAAAAAAAAACAGTTAAAAGTATTACATTTCCTCCGGTATGGCTCCGAACCTATCCAGATGCCATCAATTCCAGGACAGAATTTGAAATACTAAACGGAAACTAGAAGTGGATGGTTTGAATATTAACGGGAAGCTCGGCTGTCAAACGACAGGTGCCTAATCAGGCATCGGGCTGGCCTTAACGTTTGGGCGCCAATTAATTATGTAACAAACACACTCACCGAGCGTTGTCCACCTCAACACGCTCTGTCTACTTTTTCTGCTCGGCAGGCTCAGGGAAAATGGGCGTGGGTTTTGTGTTGACATGAACAAGGGTGCTACATAACTAATATTGTAGACAGAGATACTCTAGCTGGGGATATGGTAAATAATATGAATCAGACGAAGGAAGTGTACCTATTGAAGATGAGGCTCCGATGTTATTGGCCTCAATCTAAACCCTCCCAACCTGTGAAGTCCATTCAGGCTCCACCCTTATACAACCAATGCTCTACATCCCCTTAGGTGCCCAACAAGATATCAAATTAGTTCATTTTCAAAGTCATATAATTGCAGGCTGAGATAATATTGAAAGACATTTTCCTAAATCTAATCCTTAAGCCTAAGTTTACGTTATTTACGTTACGAGACCTCTTATTGAGTCAGTTTGTTTTAGATCCAATGAAAGGAAATAAAATTTAAGATAAGAAAGAACGCTTTTTCCTTTTTTACTTTACATTAAATAGATTAACTTATTAATATTCTTTTAAATCAATTAATTAATTAAGATGTGCAAACTATTTCAGGAGTCTTGGCGAAATTATAAGTATGGGTTCAGTTTTATTTTGTTGTTTTGCGGCTAGGCCGTACTCACGCTTTCTCCATCGACGTCAGCAGGCCTGATGACTGGTGATGTGTAGCTGTATGTGTTTTAAGTTATTTGAGGGACAAAACGATATTATAATTGCCAAATCTCCCAAAAAAAAATTGCTAAATTACGACCGAAAAGGTTTATAAGTACGAATTCTTAAATCAAAAGCTCCTATATGCAAAATTAATTATATTTTAGACACTATCATTCATGTTTATCCGCTCCTGGAGCAGAGTGTGGGCCGGATCAGCCACCAGCTCTCAATACGGATATGTAATGCTACTTCCGTCGTTCGCGCTGATGAAGATGACACGCACTATGTGCGACAGGGATGGCCGCAATCCCTTGCGTGAGGCGTGAGCGGAACGAGACCAGCCCGCCAAGGTGTGGATGCGGCAGAGCGCACGCGATGTGGCAAAGATGCACGGCGATGTGGCAAAGAACGATGTGGCCACGAAAAAGACACACGGCGATCCAATAGGTGCGCCGAAGAAAAGCACGGTGATCCAATATGTGCACCGTGTGAGGGAACGGCGATCCAATATGCGCGCCGTGTGAGGGAACGGTGACACGTTAGCGAGGCGGTAAAGAAAATCCAAATCGAGGATCACCGCAATCGGCACGTGTATGGCCGCCGAAATGGGAAGCGCAGCCCCACGCTGTGCGTGCGAATGCTCCGATGACACGTGGCGTTGATCCCGCTGAGAAGCCACAGACCATGCCAACGATGAATGCCACAAATGACTGCCACCTCACGTGGTGGGCAATTGCTGGCAAAAACAATGCCGGTCGCTTGGACGACTCTGCCGATACGGCTGACGCTGTTTTGAAAAGGCAAAATTAGCACTCCGGCGATCGATTATTCACACAAGCTTACCAATATACGTTAGAGCACTAAATTTACTTAATATGGGTATGATTCGCTTTAACAAATACTGTCGGATCGACACGATGCTTGCGGATTTAGGATCGACAAAAATTAATCCGAACTCGGGGACGCCTTGTGAGAAAGAGAACGGAAGTGAGGGGATCCAATGTGACCGTGGCTTGCAAAAATCCTGTTCGCGAATTTTTGTGGTCTTTTTTAGGTCCTATCGCATATTAGCGATTTGGCAGGATCGTAACTTTAACAGCCCGGTTGTTTGAAAAATGTGGGCGATAAAACTTATCGAGTTGCCACACTGGCTCGATTCCCACAAAATATAGGTGTGTATGGTTTATATCCGTATCCGTATCCGTTATGGTAGAAGGAATGACTGCTCTATATATATATATATATCCGTAGTCAAGGTGTATATCTATAATATCTGTATCTTTTACAATTTCTCGCTTTCTGTATATTTATATAACGACAACAACAACTAATTATTGCTTTTCGGTTTTTTTTCTCGACATTACTTTTGCTTTTTGTCATTTTGCTTGTTTTTTTTTTTTAGTTTTTTTCTTACTTTTTTTGTCAGCTTAAACTACTTTAAAAAATCATTAATAATTTACTACAACTCTAGAACAAAATCAACAAAACTGTGGAGGGAGTGGTGGTTTAGGGGGAGGGGAGCTTAAATAAGGGGGGGGGCAGCAGGTTTACAGGGATCTAAGGGGGTTCGGGAAAAGCTGTTATACGCTAGCTTATTATGAATATTTCATGTTTCACGTTCTCCGCTTCCGCCGCATGTTCTTCGTCCTTACTTCCGCTTCTATTTGTATCTGTAGTAGGATTAAGAGATGTCCTTTATAGTTAGAGAGAGCTGTAGTTGAGTTGCGTTCGCTATGTATCCAGTATTCCAGTATTTTTAATCTGTCCTCCTCCATCTGTTGCTTAGCTTGGTTTACGGTTTACAGTTTACGGTTTACGGTTTATGGTTAGGTTAGTTTTAGTTTATTGAGACGGTGGTGCCTGTGCTGCTGCCCGGATCGGATCCCCTGTGCACTTCCTAGTCCCCTCACGTCCTGAGCATCAGCAGGAGCCACCACGAGGAGGCGCCCAGCCAGAGCAGGCAGCTGATGAACTGCTGCTGGCGTCCGGTGCTCCGGCTGAGGCCGCCGTGGACATCGGTCGCCGAGCTGCGGCTGCTGCGCGCCGCTCCTTCGATGATGTTGTTGTTGTCCAGCTCATGGAGCACCGGCAGCTCGCTGAGATCGGAGGCCGGCGGCGGAGCGGTGCGCTCGGTGGGCGGGACGAAGAGGCGCTTGGGCTTGCAGCGCCGGTGCTTCTTGTACGTCTTGGTCACATTTATGCTGTAGCCCTCGAGGAACTCGGAGCCCTGTGGGTGCGATAACAAGAAACAAAAACAGAGAGTGAGTGGAAATGGCGGACATTAGCGGCTGGATCTGTATATAATAAATTACGACATTAATTAAATTTCTTTCTCCTCTGCTTCCCTTTCCAGAGCCTGGACCGTTGTCCTTGCGAGACGCGGAGCAAGCGAGGAAATTGAAAAGCTTATTTATGCCGTTGACAGTGCAACAAAAACGGGCAAAAGGACCAAGTTAAAAGCGAAGGATACTCAGGGATACTCTTGGCAAAGAGGAATATGTCGGAATTAATTCGATTTGAAATATATTTAGCAGCAGATAAGGTATAATAGCGAATTTATATATATTATATACCATTAATTTAAGGAAAGTCTGGGAAGAATACAGTTTATTTATGGTTAAAGTATTATATCTCTTAAAGTAGAAATTAATACCATTACTTTTAGTTAAAGACATCACCAAAAACCCTAATCAAACGCTTACGAAAATAGTCACAGGCCCCAAAAACATTTTTGGTAAACAAAAAGAGATGTTTAGGGTAAACACAGCCCAAGCCAAAATAAATTCCTGGTACAATTGCAAAACAATGAAGCTACAAAGCAGGTTCCCAGCTCCCTGCTCCCACTCCCTGACATCCACAGAGCTAGATCCACATCGAAATCCACGTCCACTGCGGCGTTTACTCCTGGCGTCCCCCAGTGAATTCGTTGGCAAAATTTTGTGTTTTAATTACGCTGAATAAATTTGTGTTTATAAATAGGTTCGGGGCGGGCGGGAGATCCTGGGACTCTCGAGCTGCGGTCAAATATTTTATGCCCAGTCGAAAATCTAAATCTAGCGAATGTCTGCATTTGTGTGCGTCCGCCGTCGGTGGGCGGTGGGCGTGGCTGACTTCATAACGAGTGTTTACTAATAATATTATGCAAATCGCGCGACGTGGAGGAGAACGGACGTCGGACGTCGGACGACGACGCTGTTTGTTGTTGAATTTTTGAAAAGGCATTTTGTGAATCGTTTTTCGGCGGGGCTTCGGCGTTGGCGGCGAGCATAAAAACCTCAAAACAGCAAACGGAAAAAAAGGTGGAAAAACCTGGAGTGGAAATCCACGGCTTGACAGGCAAACCCAGGTGTGTGGGCGCCTTGTTGCCACTGACAGACATTTTAATTGAAAAGGAATGTGTGTTTGTTTGTCATGTTGTTTCCATGGTTCATTCCCATTCAGGTTGAAGTCTCTATATAGAATGTGCAATTTTGTGTTATGCATAAATTTGAGGCTTTAATTGCCGGCTGCCCTTAGACTCAGCCGAGATTGACATGCTAATTAGGTGGGTCTGCTTTGTCCTTTTTTTTGGGGCCCCGAAAAAGTGTGCTACAATATTTTATATTATGCTAATTAAGCCTGACCCCAAAATATGGCAGGGAAAAGGCTTTGGAGGCTTTGGAAAACCATCTCGGAGCTTGACTTTAGTCATAACTCCCATATCAATCAATCAGTCTCTGAGGCCATTTCCCAGTTGGTTAGGCATTCAACCCCGTTGGGAACTAGGCCTTCCGTATCACCGGGTTCCGAGTTACCAGTTCCCAGCTCCGAATTCCTGGTCTCTAAGCTGAGGGCTTTGTGGAAACTAATCAGAAACTTCTTTGCCTTTGCCGCCTTTGTCACCTTTTTGCCGCTATATATTTTCCGCTACATTTAACTGCCGTTCACCTTTCTGCCCGAGAACTATAGCATTTTTTGCTGCTAATTTGGGAGCATCAAGGGTTCGCTTCGCTTCTCTTCCCCTCTTTTTTTTTTGTCGTTATCAAATTGAATGGGCCTGTCCGTCAAGTGGGAGTCCTCTCATCCTGCCCTCCCCGAGGACAAGTTCCTCAATGAATTATTGACTAAAGGACAGCAGCAAAAAGAAGATGAAACCGGGCGGCATTTAACGCAATAGCACGGAAAATCGATGACAATTCAAGCGTTGATAATTTTGCCCGAGAGTCGTGGCATAAAAATGGCAACGCTTTCCAACTTAAGCAATTTCCCACAATTTCCACCAAGCTTGCGAAGGAGAGCAGCGTCCTGCTCATATGGGAGCATTCAGTCTAAACCATTTTGGACGTGAATTAGAGCCAGCTGGCCGGGAAGCGTCGTCCGACTAGGGCTTGGCCCACTGTGTGACCCATTAGAATGATCGTTGTCGAAGTCGTACGTGTGTTGGTCTGATATATGCGACTCAGTCGGGCCGAAAGGGAAGTCCGTGGCTCTCCGGGCTGCCGTAAAGTGGCGCCTAACAAACTCGAACGGAGCGAGTGAGTGCCGCCGCCCATGGCCGCCGCAATGCAATTGATTGCACTTTATAACGTGCGGTTTCCGGTAGACATTACCCGCATTTTGCCCCAACCGATGGATGTGGCTGTGGGCTGGCCCTAATGTCTTTTCTGCTTTAACTCCAATGCAGCACTAGCTCCATGCCCGCCCACAATGAATAAATGAGCACTTGTCTGGGTTCTGCTGGGGTGTGGGTTTCAGGGGGGAAGTGGAGGTGGAGCTGGAGCTGGAGCTGGGTTGGGGCCATCAAATGGCAGCAAGAAAAATTATCCCAGATATTGTCTAGCAATTTAGCTGATTAAGCTGATGGATGTAAAGCAGGAGCAGGAGCAGCAGCAGCAGGACGAAGACGAGGGCGATTAGGGCGAAAGCCAAGGAAGAAAGACTGCGCAGATTGAGATGCCCCGATAGATAAAAAGGGTTAATGCGATTTCAGCTGTGACACGAAGGGGACAGTGGTGGAAAAATCGAAAATCGCCATACTATATATATGTATGTACATATATCTTCTTCTACTTACCGGCACCACATGATTCTTGGCTCCCCAGCAGATGGGCTTGAAGCTGCCCTTCCGCGTCGCCTCTTGGAATTCGCCAAATTGATTCTCCCAGTCGTAGGATATCAGACGTGCCTCCAGTGTCATTCCGGCCAATTCCGGCGGCGATGATATAAGCACAGGGTTTGAGTCACTGCAAGATAAGACAAGAGAAGGTCGGAGAGATCAGAGATTGGTGGCATTAAACGGAGCAGACGCTAAATAACATTATTAACTTTATTATTATTGTCAACTTTGATTAGGACTTAAAATTTATTGCGTTGGCTGAGAACCACCCTCAACCCTCGAAAAAATCCGCCTTGCCAGCACATTTTCAACTTTTTGCCCCCAAAAAAATTGGCTTGAAGGAAGGGCCAAGGACCTGATCCCTTCTTCCGGTAAGTCCTGGCAGATTTGCGCTTGGATTTTCCTCCGGGGAGGCGCGCGCGCCCAACAAAAACTTGAGCTAATTAATCTTTTAGATTTTCATTTGTGACGCGTCAAATACGTTGTTACAATTTCGGTCTGCCAGAGCGAAATAAAAACCGCACACGGAGCGGAGACGGAGCCGGAGCTGGGATCCTGCTGGGGGTAAGAAAAACCTAACAAATGGGCCAAAAGTGTAAAACCCTGGCAAGCGGCGGGCAGGCAATCAGTGGCGTAGTCTGGGCCGGAAGAGTAGTCGAGGGAGATGACTAATGGATTGGCTCATGGAAGTCATTTCTGCGGCTCTGTTTGTTTGCTGATTATTCAATTGTGTCAACCCCGCTGATGCCGCTGCCGCTGCCCAGGCAGGACCTTTTCTCCTATAACAAATACGTATAATTTGGCTGTTTAATTTGATTTCTGTTTTTACTCAGGATTTGCCATTTATCAAGTGTCTTTGAAAGGCTTCAAAGCGCGTTGGCGCCTCGGGCGCTTTTAGAAAATATTTTTACTTGAACTGATTTATTGTCATTAGTTGACATTTGATAAATAAATGGATTTTGCAGAAATAAAATAAGTAAATAAAAATTTAAATATCTTTAAAACTGGATTTACAGTATAGAATAGAAAGATTAAGGCACCAAATACAGTTTACATTTCATTATTTTACTGGAGAATATTTTGATAATTTTTGATAGTTACAAAATCTCTATAACTTATATATACATTTAATATTAACAAAAATAATCTAGTATTCAAATCACAACAGAAGGTAGAAAGTAAATCCTCAAATGCTGGTAATTTTTAACTTCCCGAAACACAAACTTTAATCCTTTTCAAATGTAACTTCAAAGCCTATTTTGCTAAATAAATCTCAACATAAAAAATCTAAAAAGAGAGGATCCTAGTGAACCCTATTCAGTAAAGGGAATTATATTTTCTAATCCCATTTCCTAATGCAGCGATCCTTGAAGCTATATACCGCTGGAAGTTAATCCCTGCAGCTGCTGTGCTCACCCCTCCTCGTTGCACTGCCATGGCCCGGGCTCTGATGTTGTGCAATATAAATTCCTTCTCTATATTCATCTCGACTCATTCATTCCCTCCTCCATTCATTCATTTCGCCTCGTTTCGTTTCGTTTGGTTTTTACTCAGCTTGCTTTTGGTTGGCTCAGCAGTGTCTGCCCCGCGACGTGTCCGTCCGCCCGCCCTTACAATTAGGCTAATTAATTTTGTTCTTTGCCGGGCATTACGAAAAATGTTGCTTTAATTTCATAGAACCCACACACACACACACACACACATACAGAGTGGGTGGTCGAGAGGGAGGTGGAGCGGGAAACGCACATTTTCTTTGTGCTCTCCCTCTTTTGCTGCTGCGAGTTGTTTTTGTCGGCTGGCAGAATCCTTTGGAAGCCGCAAACAAATCTCTTTTAATTAATTTATGATTCCACTCAATCCGCATCGAGGGTTGTGTCTGCGATAGTCCTCTCTCCGAGTGGCTGGCGGGAGTGGCAGGGGGGGTTGACTCCTGCGGCGAGTGAACCAGGGGGAGTGGGGGAGACGGCGGACTAAGGGAAGTGCCGCTGCAACAGCCGCAACAATTTGCGGTTGGAAACACGAAAAATATTAATGTCTGCGGATTGATTGCAAAATCTCCCCCTACTTCCTCCTCTCTAATGGCCATGGCGATGGCCACTTGTGCGAGTCCGCCCCGCATTTCCACATCCACAACCATGTCCATGTCCGTGTCCGTTTCGGTGTCGGTGCGGTCCGGATCCATGTCCTACGTCCCGCAATAATAATAATATAAAATAATATATGACCCGTCTCCGTCCATCTGTTTTGTGGCAGTGCAATGCACTGAGACATAGTTGGGATTTAAATGGATTTGATTTCGAAATCAAAGAATTATTAATTATGTGCTTAAACTCAACAGTTACAGGAACTTTTTATGATCCTAAAAGCAAGCTAATAACAGTTAAGAAGTCCTTTTAATCGAGCTTCTAATAAATCCCTTTCAGATATATTCTTTTTTTTAATTTCTAAATCTATTTAACAGACTCTAATATTTTCTCCCAGTACATCTGCATTGCATTTCCCTTTTACATTTGGTGTTTGCGGTTCATTCGATGGGTGTTTTGAAGGGTGTTTCGAGGGGTGTTTAAGGAGAGCCAAAAGGCAGCCGGGGGTGCAAGGTTCACTGGCTAATATATCCGGCCTGCATATGACCGTAACCGGCGTAACCTCCCCCACATGCTCGTACATATAATAAATATAAATGCAGTGGAAACTCACACAGATGTTGGTAATGTAAAAGCGGGATAACATCCTGTAGGACCCCGCCCAGCACTCAGCACTCGCCACTCGAACGCCCCCGCTGTGTGCGCGCATCAATCGCTGGCGTTTTAGCCTTATCGCCATTGACTTCATTGGCACTCAGTATAATTAAAATGATGGCCCAGCAGCAGCAGCAACAGCAACAGCAGCAATGGCAGTGGCAGTGGCAACAACAGGAATCCAGCCAACTAGCCAGCAGCAACATTCGGCAGGACAAAGGATCTCCTCGCAAATTCGGAGGTGGGAGAGCGTCACTGGTTTGGCATTGTTGATTATAAAATCCAATGGCACATCACACAATGCCGGCCCCGAAATGCATTGCGAGCGGAACCAGCTTCAGGCTGGACTGGATTCATGGAACTGCAACTCCTGCTCCTGCCACTCCTACGGCCACTGCTGCACTTCTGCAGCCCATCCAGAACCATTTCCACTCCGACTTCCAACTGCAATGCGCCGGCAATGGGTTTATTTATGTAGCGTTATGACGACGGCGCAATTCCACAAAGGAGGCGGAATGGATGCAGGGGCGTGGCCTCCCTCTCTGGAGTAAGAGGCCAAGTATGTGTGTGTGTGTGTTCTGGGTTATGGGCTTTGGGTGCTCCTGCCCGAATGGGGGCAGAATTCAATTTTGAACTCGAATGCAATTGCAATTGGCATAACGGCCAAATGACCGTTCCTGATGACAAATGAAAACTAAAATGGCAGGGGGCCATCGGGGGAAGGGGGTATCGGAAAATGGATATCTGATCAAGCCATCCATTAAAAGTCATTCAAAGAAAAAAGAAACTGAAATCATAGCAAGCTAAAATGGAAGCTTAATGCATATAATGGCTTCTTTTTCGTGTTTGAGTGAAGTTTATTGAAATTCTCTGAGAATATTTACGGTTTAAGGAAGCCTCTTAACAGTCCGTTGAGTTATAAGTGCATTTTAAACATAGTTTTTCTGTTTGTGATTAATTTTTTGATAATTTAAAAACCTTCTTCATATTTATAAATAAATGTGAAGCTTAGAAAATAAGTTTTTTTCGTAGCTTAATGCAGACTTCTAACAGTCAGTTAGGTTTAACGTTTACTTTTAATATATTATTACCTATTTGATAATTTCAACACTCTTGTTCTCCTATAAATAAATATAAAGCTCTGAAATTTGATTATTTTCTGTGAAGCCTTAATGACTTGTCTACCAAACAGTATCCTTAACTTTTAACAAGATTTCCTTCTCTTTAACCTTCACATTAATTAACCCAACAGCAACTTTTTCCTCAGCTTGAAAGCAAAAAGTATAAATTTAACAAGATGAGCCAGCGTAGCCCGGGAAATATCGCGTTGGATAATTGCGATGAGCCACGCAAGAGTATCGATAGCAAAGCGACGGCAGCGGGGTGAAGGCTAAAGGCAGTCGGAAAAGCGGGAAAATCGCAGACTCGTGTGTGCAGAGTGTGGGCCATCCGATATGCAAAGAAGACGATGGAGAAGAAGTCATAAAGTAATAAAGGATATCATGAGCCTTAATGAGACTCCCTTCTCGGGCGCACAAAGAGGATATCTATATCACTCAGCCCCAAACAATTAACGAAAGCTGCGACCCAACGGCAAGCACTATAAAATGAAGCCAATTTGCGTAGCTCAACAAACAGAAAACGCCAATAAACAAAAGGGAAACAACAGTGGCGGCGGCAGGACGCGGGAGCAGGACACTGGGGATAAAGGACGCACAACGCTGAACACTGAACGCTGGACACTGGGAATGGGAGTGGAAATGCACACAACTTGAATAATTACTTTGATTTTAATGCCGGCACCGGATCCAGGCCAGTGGCGAGGCAGACACAAACGCACGTACAATTAAAATTAATTTCAGTGGCCATGGCAAGTGCGTAAATTGTAAAAACCACTATCACATTATTTTTTCTGGTTTTCCCCGCCGCTTTGGGAAAAGCGTTGCCCAAATGGTCATCGTCTCTGTGCCGGAAAAATCAGGCAACAAAAACCCCAAAACGTAAAACGTAAATTAAGCCAATAACGGGGCAATCGGGCCCGGGCATCGGTACGATTCAGGAATCACAGGACCCTGGCCAAAAGGACTCGTGGAACGGAATGAACCCGTGTGCGAGGGCGAGTTCCGCAGGAGGAGATGAAGGAGCAGTTACTGGTGCAGGAGCAGGAGCAAGAGCGGAAGCGGATTGGGCGCATGATCAATGAAGCTCAGCGATTTCGCAGGTGCACAGTGAGAAAGAAAAGTGCCCCAGGGGAGGTCAGGAATTTTTTGTAAATAAGGATTAAGGATTGATAGGAGTAAACATTTCTACTAATAATTATCTAATCGTAAGGATGACTATTTTGTGACACAAACTAATTAAAGCTTCGTAAACTAAGATTAGATCTCATAATCAGAACTCCTGACAAACCGCGGTAAATGAACAACTCACTTAACTCGCTCTCATGCTGGGTTTCTCGCTGTGCTGCATTCCATTCCCCAGTCAGACGATGTCCTGCCAGCCTCCCACAATCAACTCCACAATCCACAATCCATACTCCCTACTGCACCCACCGCCCCCACCTCGGATGCATTGTGTGCTTTATGTCCTTGGGCCCCGACGCACGCTAACGACTTCAATGAGTTTTGCATGATGACGACGACGACAACGACAACGACGACGACAACGACAACAACGTTGTCCAGCCTCCCATCCTGATGGGCGCCCCATAATTCTCCCCTCCTCCCCCATCATCACTCTTCCCCGTCGTCGTCATCATTGTGTCGCAACTCCCGCCCCACGTCCGAGTGTATCTGTGTGTCGGTCAATTGGGCCACAGTTGAACTGCAAACAATTTTGGAAGCCCCTTTGCAACGTACACTTACCGAAAATCTGTGCGTATCAAATTAAATTGAATTTCAACCACAATAAGCATCACAGATCACAGGCTCTGAGGTGGTGGGGGGTGGGCAGGTAGAGGTGGCGCTGGAAGGATGCTGGTTTGGCATTTGCAAGTGGCTTATAATTACATTAGTTGCAGACCAATTGAGCCTCAATTTGGCCGCCATGGCTGGTGCTGCTGGCTACGACCTGTGTGCATCATTAGCTTATCATTCAACGTGGCATTCCGAATCGCAATGGAACGAAGCAGAGCATAGCCACTGGTTATATATGGGCAGTGTGGTGTGAACCAGATGATAAAAACCATCAATATTGCGACAGGATTTTACTGACAGTCGATTGAGTGGGTTTCTTTAAACAAATAAAGTATGGCTAACATTTAAAGCGTGTTTGGAAATGGGAATTGATTGCACTTCATTCTATTCTATTTATTATGAATTTTTAAAGAAAATTTGAAACCTCATTAAACTCAGCCTAAAAGTATGCAACGATAAATGTAGTTTGTGGTGATTTAATTTAACAGCAAATGAAATCGTATTTGCTGTGGATTGGAACCCCCGATGCTATTTCGTAATTATTATTAGCAAACAATACTGCAATTGATTGAATTAAAAATCCCAGGGAGTTGGGGCTATTTCGAGTACATAACTGCACAGTAACTCTATAATTCAACCACAGGATGCGTAGTCCCCGTTCCAGCGTTCAGGCCAATGTTATTGTTTCGCCCATGTTCGTTTTCCATCATTGTTTAATTAAACCTGAAGCGCACAACATGCGGTACCTGCGGGCGATCTAGACATAGAACAAATAGGAGCCGCAGTCCTTGCCACGCCTCATCGCTTCCACTCCATCCCAGGACCAAACAGAGGAGGAGGAGGGTTTCTGTTGCATTTCCATGACCCCCACACTGCCCCCCCCACATTCCCCCAATCGAATTCGTGTTCGTTTGTTGTCGTTCGGGTTTTCATTATGAATTTTAATCCTCATATCGCATTCGCACTTTCGGTTGCAGGAGCTCCAGGCCCCGGATCCGGACTTGCTGCCCCATCCTCCTCCCCGGAATGGAGAGAGATTGAGGCTGGATCAGGCCCGTAGCCGGACATTAAGCGCTACAAAATTGCAGTGGCCATAATAACTGACCGACAACAATAACAGGAACAGCAGCAACAATGCGGGGCGGGGCTTTTGTATTAAACAAACAACAACGAGCGCGTGAAGCAGCAATAACACGGAGAAGCGGAGATGGCCCGAAACGAGGCCTGAACCCGGCCTGGACCCGGACCCGGGCCCGGGCCAGAGGATGGCTGCCCCGTAACGACAGACAATTGCAAATGACTTTATCAATTCATGTCGATTTCGGGTACACGCAGTTCAGTTCGGATCTCGTCGGACAAGGACAACGGCAGCGACGACGACGACGACGACGATGAGGGGTGTTTGGAGTCCATGAGTCCATAAAGTGGACATTGTACGGACAAAAAGCCAATGCCTGGGCCATGGGCCTCCACCCAATCACTTGCAACAAAAAGCTGTAAGCAGACAATGTCGTTCGTTGATGGGCCCAGAACTACGATTGTTCGGGTCACATTATGCGTTGGTGTATTATGAGACCAGGTGTTGGAGAAGTCTGTCAAAGAAAGGACTATCTGAACACGAATCTATGTAGATTCAAAATAAACCTTTTTCGAAACTAAATTAGCAGAATTAGGTCTTACACTCCTCTCTCATACTAAAAAACCCTTAAATCCCCGCAAATACCTCACTAACACTTTTAACAGACGCTTTTTATCTTAATGTAATCCCAGCGAGAGCCATCGGATGTCCCTTCCCATCCCTGTAACTCATTTACGTGGCCATGTTTTCCGCTCCTTAGCTCACCTTTTTGCCCACGCAGACCGTAATCCATTTATGCCGTTTACTTTGATTTGCGGTCCTAAAGAAAATTATCTTTGATTCGATTCGGAGCTGGCCCTGTGTCAATAGGATGTGATTAATAGGGCGTGCCCAAGGTCCTTGCTGGGGACTCTGGTTTAATTTCAACTAATTTTCAGCGCACGCTTTAATACAATATTTATAAGGCCGCCGCTGATTGATCCTAGACCCATGGGGGAGCCTGCATTCGAGGAGTCAAGTGCAGGAGTCGGGGTAAAGGATCTCGAGAGGACCCTGAATGGACCTCGAATGGCGGCTGAATGCGAGAAGGAGGCGACTGGTGGGTCGGTCTCTGTTTATTTAGCACTTGATGGTAATAGAAATCAATATTTTCTAAATAAAAGCGAGGTCGTGGCTGCGCCGCTGTCTCGTAATTTATTTTTCCACATTCACAATTCTCAATTAGAGCAAAGCCAGAGCCGGGGCCAGAGCCGGGTGCAGCAGTGTGCTTGCCCTGAGTTCATTTTCCGATTGTTTGTTAGGCAAATACTTCAGAATGGAGAATACCCGAGTGCGGAGGCAACGGCATCGAGGCAGCCAGGAGAACCCGCAATCCTCTCCTCCGCTCCTTTTCCGGTCTTTGGTCTCTCTTTGGCTGAGTTCGTTAGGTGATTTGGTTATGCAACAACATCATTAAATCACCAATTACTTTAGTCAACAGAGGAATAAACCGAATTTCCTTATACACAAGCCAAGTCCCCGACAACGTCGAGTGGGCGGAAGGCAGGACCTGCTCCCAGGTCGAGAAAGAGGTGTTGGCAAGGACCGGAGAAGCTACAATGGCTCCAAATTGAATGTGAATAGCGAGCAAATTGATTTGTGCCCAGAATGTTGTTAGTTTTTAGTATTTAAACTGCAGCAGTTTGTGTCGATTAATTAGTTGACATTCAACTTATACATTCATATATTCTTTTTGAAAGCTTTTGGGTGCTCAAGAACTATGAGCCGGCGGCCATTGCCTGTAATCGATCAATTGACATCCTTTTTCCCCTTTGCCATGTTCCGATACATATTCTTAATTCGGAATGTGTCAATTTTCATTAGCTCTGCTATGGATCGGCATCCGGATACGGATCCGGCTTCGGCTCTGGTTCCGTCTCCGGCAACGGAATGCGCCCGCCCATTCAGGACTACCATGCAATTTTGATGAGGCAGAGCAAGGAGGATGGAAATAAAGTACTTACGTTGCCAGCTGCTCGATGCCGAGCGAATGCAACACTGTGGGCAGACTCGGCAGTGAGTGACACGTTGTCAGCTTCTTCTGGCGCGGATAGTAGAGTGTCAGCACGGTGCAGCTCTCCTCCTTCATGGTGAGTCCACCTGGAACGAAAAGGAGAACGGGAATCAGACGAATTGCATAAGAAATGCGGCTGTGAAAAACAAAAGCAACCCGATCCCAACCCCAATGCCCGGGGAATGCAAAAGGTACGCTGGCTTGGCCAGGTGAGGGCCCTGGTCCTTGGTCCTGGGCTCGCTACAAAGGATGAAATTAAGCGGCCGTTGCAGTTGGCAGAGCAGTAAAACAGCCAAGGCGCCATCATAATAATATGGCAAAATGGAGACAACGTTGATGCTGATGGCTTGGAACAGAGGCGACGCGTCGCCTTGCCTCGCGTCGCGGGTATTGCTTTATTTGAGTTCCAGTTGGGCACCGCTTTACGTTTCGCTGCCTCACTGACTTCCACGGATCCATCTCGTTCCGTACGGTTGCAACATCGTTACGTTTGTCTATTACGACTCCCGAGTGTCTCCATTGAGAGTTGTCACCCCTCCACAGCCCACTCCTCAATCCTTAGCACTCAGTCCCCTGTTTCTTCTCGCCTGCTGAATTGTGTAGATTGTGTTTGAATTTGTGCAAGCAAGCAAGAAAGTCAAATTTACGTTAGGTGCTATTTTTGTACCCCTTCGGAGAAGAGAGGAAAATATGCAGGAATGGGTCTGCAGTGGAGCGTTTGCTATTTACGACACTGAAATGAGTTTTATGGGACTCGCAGAGAAGTTTTATAACAAAAATGTAAGTTCTAGGAAGGGATACTTGAAGTCAATTTTGTAAAAATCTCTTAAAGATAATTTGGGGAAATTTGCAAAGGAAATAGTTAATTGATTGTTTTGCAGGAAATTTCAATAAAAAGGTAACTTTATTACAAAGAGTTTTACTTACTTTACTTCTCAAACCCCCAACTGTTTTACAGGAAATTTAAATTAAAAGGAAAGTTAAATTACAAAGAATTTTTCCTAATAACAACCTAGAGCAATATTCTTTCACAAAATAGATAGCAAATTTTACACAAATTTAAATTAAATTTTAAAGGAATTTAATGTTGGACACCTCAAAGATTCAGCACTCTTCTCGGCGCTTCTCAAACCCCCAACTTATACGCCCTTTTTTGCACTTCTCCTGAAACTGAGTGACTAAGAAATGTTGCTTCGCCCTGCATTTCAGTATCCTTCCAAATCAGTACTTTCCATTATCGTTGCCTGTTGCGACAGCTTCACATTTTGCCATCTTCCACTATTCCAATCTCATTAATAACAACCTCTATGCAGTCTGAAGCAGCGCATTGTCCATTTCGCTGGAGTCCCGAGCAGCAGCTGTCACAGCAGGAGCAGGACGACCAGGACGAGAGCAACGCCCACAACGCCTTAACACCTGCACACAGCTCACCTATACCGTTCCCTCTCGTCCCTGTGCTAAGTGAAATGTTCCACTGTCTTGGTTTATGTATTTTACAATGACGTGGCTGCTCCGTCTTCGCTCCTTTGTCTTGGGCCTTCGTGTGCAAGGATTCTCCGGTGTGGTCTGGTCTGGTCCTGTCGCATATCGTTTGGCTGATTTAAATGTGTCATAACGACGATTGCTCACCGTTGCCACTGCTGCCTGTTTACACAACCTCCCCCCCCCAATGTTTACGCCCCAGCGCCACCGTCAATTTCGTAGAACATTTTCGCTCACGACAATGTTGCTGGGTCTCCTTGCTCCTGGCGTCGCCCCGTTCCTTTCTACAATTTACTGAATTTTTTGCAATCTTTATGGCTGTGTTGGGGTCGGGTTTATGTACAGGTATAGCCAGAGCTATATATATGGACTCCCCGAGCACTTACCCAGGGTAATTGCCTTTCGTGACGAACTGTCATAAATGCATTCGGCGATGAGTCTATCCCCGGGCAGCGAGTGCACCGATTGTGGCAAACGTCGAAAGTCCTGATAGGCCACGTCTATATTGCTGTCGTGTGCAATTGGCGGCAGCTCCTCGGTTTGTCGTATCTGGGAAAAGGGAATGGGAACGGGAATGGGAAAGGGAACGGGGGGATTAGGAGCAGAAGTTTGCTCATTAGCATTGCATTTTGATATTCGGTGTCCTGGCAAAGGGACAGGGCCTGTGACACTCACCTGGCGCAGCTTAACCTCCTTGCCGATCTGATGGGTGCGCATCATCACCGCGAATATGTTGATGCCCTGCGGGGGGAAGGCATGGGCTGTGCAGTCCTCGATGCACTGGCCCTCGGACACAACCCTCCGCTGGCCCGGTGGGATGATGTGCCGCCAGTTGGGGTCCATTCCTGCAGAGAGAAAAATAGATCGAGAGAGGGAAATGTTCAGTTTCAGTGCTTTTAATTAACGGTTCGGCGGGGTTCGAGGGGCGAGGAGCGATGCTAAAAGCTGCCAACCGCTACGGGAGTGACTGCTGCCGTAAACGTAAACGTAACGTAAGCGCGGAATGCTCACCAAAAACCCCAACCTCGTTATCATCGCTCATCAGTGTCCTCCCACTCGACACTCTGTTTAACTTTGAACGTTGATTTTTTAATTCGATTTGTCGCAGAACGTGTAATTACATTTTAATTGCTGCTTTTGATGTTTTAACAACTTTGTCAATGCAGTCGCGAGTACAGAGTCCATATCCCAACCCCCATGACATGCCCCCATTCCACACCCATATCAATTAGGGACATTTCCTTCTTTTCAAGAAGAAATTGCTTGAAAATCAAATTTTGCATTTTTGAATTTTTAGGGCGCGATTTGGTTTGGCCCTCGTTGACTCAATTAGTTAAATGTTGTGGAATATTGTTCATACACAGGACCCCGCATGTTGTGTCCTGGGGCCATTTCCCCCGCAGTTCCTACCCCACACACTCAATTAGGGCCGCGTGTCGCCTGCCATGTTGAAAAAATATTTGAAATTCATGTGCTACATATACAAAAGGCAGCTCCTGCCCTAGCTCCCGCTCCCGCTCCCGTTCCCGCTGCTTCTTAGCATCCTGGGTATGCCTGCTCCCTGTTCAGCCGCTTGGCATTTCAATTGTTGTGCGTGGGAGTCGGGGGATGGGAGGAGGAGCTGCTGCTATAGCTGCTATAGTATGCCAATCAAAATACTCGCGGGAAATACTTGGCATTGCTGGAAGAGCCCATTTCTGAATTCAGCTGGCAATTGATTTCCATTTTTGTTTTCAGCTCTCTCTCTCGTAAATCTGGGCTTAAATGTTGGTTAAATCCTTTCTCCGTACAACTCGATTACGGAAATTACTCATGTCTATATGCAACTGATTGAATATCAAGAATTTATGTCAGTGAAGTCTATACTTTTATTTAATAATCTCAAGACCTAATGACTTTATTTCATAATCTTAAATTGATTTTCCCTTTTCGAAATCTGATCAATTTCCCGTCGACAGTCTGGCCAATTACGTGACGTGAACCATTTTAAATATTGAATATTGCAATTCCAGATTAGTTTCCAATTGCATTAATTTTTTGTTACCTTCTGTACCATTCACCATTTATTTTTACGCCCTTTTTTGCGGCAGATATTGGATATTCGATTCAGACTGCTGACCTATTTTCTGGACGGTCTGGTCCTTTTGCCCCGATCTGGCTTATCCTTTATAATCCCATTGAACCTACGTAAAAATATTAACTTTAAAGCCCTTTTGCATAAAATATCCATTTGGCTGGCTGATGTGCGGTGTGTTTTTCCTTTTGGAATTTAACAACCTCAACGGGCGGAATATTACGTAATGAATTGAATTTACCACCCACCCATGCGACTATATCCCAACTATATGTAAATTTGCTTTGCATATTTGTTGCGGAGATTATTTCTATTAATTTTCATAGTCAATGGCCGCGGAATGGGCTTTTTTGGCTTTGTCATGTTGCAGGGAATCAATTTTCAATTACCAAAAATATTGTTTAACTATGCCCTGCTGGCTTTAAAAAGTTTTATCCAACTTTCTGGTCATTATACAAAATGTCACGCCACAGAAATCAATCAATCTAACGTGCTGGCTGGCCGCCTGACTGGACTTTATGATACTCAAATTCAGTATCATCAATTTAATTGAAAATTGCGATTCATGCGAGGCCGCCTCCTTGGGGCCAACTTTGACGGGGCTTTGGCCAAAAGTTTTGCGGCCATCCTTTAATTGATTTCCATTAACTTTCAATTCGATCAGTCCATTTGAATATTATGACAGCGACAGAGCGGCTGAGAGCTCTCGCTGTGAAATTGCCGACCATCGGAGTGCCCAATTCCAATTCGTGCGGATTCATTTCATTTCCATTTCAGTCTCTGTGCGAATTTCCATTCATTAAATCAAAATTCAATATTGGCCAGGCGAAGCATGACGGACTGGCCAGGGAGCAGGGAGCAGGGAGCAGGCGGAGGGTGGCGGCCCTGGCTCTATTTCTATTTAATTTGGCCCAAAGCGCGCCGGGGACAAGCTCGCAATTCATAACTACACATATTTTACAAATCGATATTTAACGCTGCCGCGCGCTAGCTCTGCGTTTTTGGCAGTTGCATGTTGACAGCCAGCACACGGCGAATGGCGAATGCAGAATTCAGAATGCCGAATGCCAGAATGCAATGCAAAACTGTGCGATTGCTACTTTTCTAATTATTTTAAATGGCAATTTGTGTCAAAGCGTCAGCTCACTCACTTTGTGTCCCGAATAGAGAGGGACGACTACCGCCCGGCAGGCGAAACAATTTGATTAGCGTCCAATGGCACAGCCACAGATATCGCCAATATATAGCATATATACGTACATATATTTGTTTATTTGCCAGACTGAGGTACTTGGCTTCGTAAAATCACATTTGATAAATACATTTTTGGGTCAACACAGGATCTGTGTGGTGAGAACTTCAGAGGGGATATTGATTCTGATTCGTTTTAGTACATATTTTACAATATTTTAAGGACACTTTCAAAGGATTAAAGCAGTGAAAATAAAAGGTTTTGTTATTTATTATATTAAAATAGTGGAAATATATTTCAGTAAATTACAACAAAGCATTTGAGATAAAAAAAACCTTTTCAAACTACATTTAAGCTCAAGTTTCTTTAAATAAAATAATTTTCCTCTCACAACAAATTGTTTTTTGTTAGAAAAATGTACAATACATCCACAAGGACATATGTAAAGGCATTTAATAAATACAGAAACAATATTTTCCGCCCTCTCTGTGTGTGATCAATGGATGTACACTCGCTTTCCGATAAGCCTTGAGCTGACGATTACAATCCCCAAGCTGGCTTAACGTGTCCCAAACTCATTTGTTTCGCCATCTTTCCCAGCTTCCCATTGCCGCCACCCATCTCCATCTCCAAGGTGCCATAAAAATTCGCCAAGCCGCAACATTAATCACAGATTCGCTGCATACACCAGGGCGCTATATCAATAACCAATTAAATTGAAATTAAATTTCGCCGCAGCCAGCGAGACCGGAAACGTAGCAATTTCGCAGCTACTTATGCGTGAGGGACCCGGGAGAGCTTTGGCTTCGGCTTGGAGCTTGGAGTTGGTGGGGGCGTAATTCAATTTATAGCAAACCAGGAGAAAATTGTAGCCAACATTTTATTTTTATTTTCGCTATGGTTTTTTCTCATTTTTTATTTATTGACTTGTGTCTGCAAATCTGTATGTGTGTGAGTGTGTGCGTGGTATGCGTTAAATTCCAATTAAATATTTCAATAGCAACCAAGAAGGACTCAGCCCAATCGGATCTGGAAGCCCCTGCCTGAAATACAACCAAAAACGTTCCTCTGTTTTTTCGGCTTTTCCCAAATTGTATTTTTCTATCAAGATGTATTAATCCACTTCCCTGGCTGCCTTTTCTCCGGGGCTCCAACGTTTCTACTCCGGATGTTTTGGCAACACCTACTCAAAAAAGAAAAAAAAGAAGAACGCAGAAGGAAACAGGAAAGCTGGAAGAAATGTAAGTAGACGAAGTTCCTTCGGCCAAAGCTCCACCATGCGCCGCCTCCTCCTCTTCTTTTATTTAGCGCTTTTGGCCATGTCTCTCTGTGCGGTTGGGCCAAAGTTATATTGGTTTGCGTGACTCTCAACAAAAGTGAAATAACAATTGCAACAACAACAACAACAACAAGAGCAACAGCAAGGACCCACCAGAAATGCCAAAAACAAACAGAAGAAACAACCTAGCACAGCCCGTAAGCAACGGCAACAAAAAATAGAAATAAATTCTAAAGTGAAATTAGTATTTTAGTTATCCTCTGTGCCTGCTCACGAACCACACGAATGAATATAGAATAAAAAATAAAAATGAACAAAAATTGAGTACCTAAAGAATTTTCAGGTGGTTCGCCTCGCTTTGGTGGTTGCTCAATACGGATTGTGCAGTGTGGCTTGAGGAGTACTCAAAAAGTGCTTAGGCATCGACTTGGGGGGGGGAGAATATTTGTGAAATGGGCAGGGCGAGGTGCTTGTAAATGGCTGTTTTGCGGGTTTTTCCAATCGAGGTGAGTCGGAAGTTTTTCCGCCCAGAAAATATGATAATTTGAGGGAGAAGGAGCAGTCAGCCAACGGAATCTTCAGGAAAATATAGCTGTGACGAGTGTCTAGGAAATTGGCTAATGAAAAATGTTTTCGGGCAATCAAAGAGGCTATAATAACCGAAGAAATAAGCTTATCAAGCGGTCAGGATGTAGAATTAATTTAAATATGTTTTATAAATAATATTTCTCCTTTTGTTGAGCACAAATATGGTTTTTAAAGTTGATGAAATTGTAATAAAATGGGTTTAATAACTGAAAAGCTAAGCTTATCAAATTAAGTATATTTCTCAGATTATACTGATCTTAGTTTCAAACACGAATCTAGTTCTTAAGCCCCACCATTCTTTAATGTTTTCTATAAATCAAGTTCATAGTTATCTTGAAATATTATTTTACTTTCAATGCCTGCCATAAAAACTCCTCAATTACCCCTCGCTGCAACTATATCCACAATGAACTGGCAGTTGCAGCACCTAACCTTTGGCTCTCTGAATTATTTAGTTGCTTGGCTGGAAAGTTTCAGCTTTCCACTTCCATTTCGACTACAGACACATGCCAAGTATTTCCAATTGTTTGATTTGGATGCGTGCCTGGTGTGTGTCCATGTCCGGCCAAACGCCAAATTTAAAATTAAAATCTATTTGTGAGCGATTTGGAGCAGTTGGACGGGGAAAGGACTCGACTGGGCGAAGGACAGCCTTGCTATATTGCCTGACAGACGACAGACAGGCTAGTATTAAAAACTGTGACGATATAAACTTTCATGGTGGATAAAAGGTAGTTAAATTGCTGTGTCTGTGTCTGGGAGCAGCAGCGGATTTATACCCATTGTTTGTTGTTACGGCAGACACAATACTCCCTCTCCAATGTAGCTCTGGAACAGCAAACAGCCAACAGCCGAGAGCCAACAGCCGAGAGCCCCATAGCTAAACCGCATTTGGACAAGCCGGGCAAAGTCATAAGCTTTTGTTTTACTGGCCCCACCAATGCGGTCGGATCTGCTGCCGCTCCGCCCGGCAATCTCATAAATTGCATGACATGAGTTGCATACTACATAACATATACGTAGATACCATATCCATATATGTATGGAAAGTTCTTCTCATCGCTCTGCCGCATAAAATATACAAAAGGGCAGCAGCTGCACACAGATGCAGTCGATATATAAGCAGGGGTTAGGGCAACGCAACCCCTTTGTTTCGGGGGCGGAATCTATGGGGTATGGGGCATACCATATGTATGTGTAGAGGGTTTGGTACTTACCAATTGACAATATGCCGGCATCGTTGGGTCGCAGGACGTGCGTAAAGTAGATTTTCAAACCCGAATTATCCGCCATTTGTCTGGCGTGCAATTGGGCAAAGTCGGGCTTCAAATTGTTGTAATGGGTCTCCATTAAATAATATTTGGCCTGTCGCGACTCGATCGGGTAGCCGGCCTCGTGTGGATACGTAAAGCCCTGCGAAAAGAGGAAAGTTGAAAAAAATATGACAACGGCAAACAGGACGCAAAAAAAAAGGAGAGGAAAGAAGGCAAAGAATATGTTGAGTGTTTGTTTTTATACCCGCACACACGGGAGAGAGTATACACATACGCCGTAAGTTGGGCGGAAGTTGATGCCATGGCCATGTGCAATTTAAATGCAGCCAGGACCCGGCTCCTCCTCCTCGTCCTTCCCATTCCCAACTCGTCCATTGCCATTCAATTGCATTGCGGAACGCCCCACGGCGGACAGCAGCCATAACATGCCACTGCATTATGGCGCTCTTCTGATGAAATTATGAAAAACCCTATCCTCCAATCCAGCCCAGAGCTGAACGGAGAAGGGCAGAGCGGTGCAGAGCTGCTCGAGACACGAAAAAACAACTGACGAAGAGTTCAGGCTGGGGCCAAAAGGGCCAAGGTATTTATTATTTCGGTGCACTCTGCCAGGACCAAGAGCTTATGGATTCTGGGAAGAAGGATGTTGCTGAAGTGAGATCAAGCTGGACAATTATTTTTTATTTATTATAAAATTCTTTTTACTCAAGGTTTTAAATTTTCTTATGGAAAAGAATTGAAAGTATTTGGAATTTAGGGATACATTTTATTAATGATCATCTTATATAATTTACAGTTTAATATCTCTAGAATCTATAACGTTTCTTTTCAATTGCAGCTCATACAACTCCAAGTTACTTGATATATACTAAATGATAACCTGATATATAAAGATCATCTGCTTTATAGATCCAGGGTAACTAGGCCCTCTATCAGAATTTTAACCAGCGCTTCAGTGACGCCTTTCTTCGTGTTGAAAGGAAGCATTTGCGAAGGTTAAATTAATATTGCATGGTTATGGTTATGACGAGAACGGGCATTGGGGTATCGGCGGGATATATATAGTATAGGGATTCAGATTCCGTTGCCGGATGCTTACCTCGCTGCCGCGCGACCAGGAGGCGACGATGGCGTTGCACGCCAGCGGTATGGATCGGGCTCCCAGGCACTGGCGACCCTGTTCGCGTGCCATCTCCTCCAGCTCGGCGTGGGCTCCCTGGCACTCGTGCAGCGTTATGTGCTGCAAGTAGTGCACGCTGGACGATGAATCATAAATCGGTTCGTACTGCGGCCATGAAAGGAAAATGAAGCAGAGACAACGGTTAGCGAGATGTGCATTGTGGGTATATATATGTATATGTATATGGGAGAGGCACCGAGACGGGGATAAATTTTTAATATTTCAATTTGGTTATGCCGAGGCCAAGAGACAACGACAGCGACAGCGGGCAGAATGCAGCTGGGCTGGGAAAGTGGGGGGAAAAGCGGGGAAAGTCTCTACAGCGACAGCTACTGGCAGACAAAAGCGGAATGCGAGTCGCTGAGCAACTGCACTTGGCCTTAATTATGCATTGTATTTAATATCATTTAGTCCTGCACTCGGGCGAAAATGTTTAAGACGGAGGACAGACGGTAATTCCGACTGTTGGATGTCCTTTAAGACTTTAAGGATAAATAGGAAATAGCTTAAAACTCTCAAGTAACTTAACCTTTTAAGCTGACAAAGGAACAAATAAATATATATCCTTACCCGTATCAGGTGATGCTTGCGATTGATGTCCTCCAGCTTGAACATCTTGCACCAGAAGAGCGGCAGGTCACCGGCGGGCAGCTCCACATCCTCGTTGCGCAGCTCCAGGACTCGCACGCGCTCGTCGTGCGTGGGCGAGGGCATTGGCAGCTGGGCGCGCTGCATCATGACCATGGGGCGGTAGGGTCGGAAGGCGCGCTCCGGATCCGGAAGGGTGCCCGGGCGCACAGAGCCATGCGGCGGATCCTGGGCGTGGTACATGTACAGCAGGCGCATCGTGTCGTTCTGCAAAGGAAGAGCGGATAATGGGGGGTTGAGAAGTGAAATGAGAAATGTGTAAAAAATTAGTTGGTCTGCCCTGGTCAAGGTGGGTTAAGTTGCGGGGTGCTGGGTGCTGGTCCTCGAAATGGCGCTATAATGGCGCGTTGCAACAACCCAGCAACAGCGGCAATAATGTCCTTGCTGACGTGTACACGGATGCACTGTCTGGCTGGGATTGCTGCTCCCCTAGCCTCCAAGCTTCGCCTGCTAAATGAAGTACACACACACACAGGGAGAGAAAAAAAAAAAGAAGAGCAGAATGGGAGTTCTCGTAACAACAGGGCAGGAAGGAAGCCAGGATGTTTGCCTTTGGCAGAGTAGCAGCAGCAGGACGAGGAACGTGGCCAGGTGGATGTTTGGTCAGCTGCCGTCGGAAGCTGAAGTCGGGGGCCCATTGTCGATGGTGGGTTAATGGTGCAAATTGCAGCGCACCACGGAACACGTTGCCACACTTCACCCGGAACGAGAAAGGGAGGATTCCGGTGCCGGCAGAATGAATGCTTTCCTTCACTTCACTATTCCATGGCCAAAAAAGCAGCTTTCTCTGTTCGCTCTCGGAGTGACCGCATTTCATTTATTTAATTCCCATTTAACAAATTAATTCCGCTGCACTTATGGGCCAGCCGCGTTGCCAAATTTCAGTGGCAGGACCAAGACCAGGACTCGCTGTACTTGAGCTGTCCGTGCTTGAATTTAGCCGAATTACATTCTCCCGTCGGCCCTGGTGCAATTTCCAGTCCACAATGGCATCTTTGGGCAACCAATTTACACTTCAAGTGGGCGCAACCCCGAACATTCGTCTAGCTCGGGGAAGCTCGGCCACTTTGCCCTTTTGGCTCTCTGCTTTTAAGAGGGGTTTCCCCCAAGAGAGAGTGAGATAGAGCGGGGCTTGCATGTATTTTTCATTTGCCACGTAGTTTTAATTGGTAAACCCGAAAATTAAAGCAGTCATTAAGGAATCACGGTGTCGGCCACTGCCTCTGCTTCTCTTGCTCACCTCTGACCCTTGGCTATCTGCTGCTGCTGCTGCTGCTGCTGCTGCTACTCCTGCTACCCCTTTGTGGACGCCTATGTCCTTGGGGGCTTTTGGAAGCCAACAGTCAGCTGTCATTGTGTGCACGTCATGTCCACGTGAGTGTGTGTATGTGTGAAACAACAATAACAACACATGTAGCACTCTGGGAGAGTGAGTGTGTGTGCGAGTGCGGTGCAGTGAGAGAAAAAAACCAACGTCGGGGGCATCCATTTGAATTCATTGTGGCAAAGTGCCCATTGTAGCTGTTAAGTGGAACTGTAGAGTACCATGTTCGACAATTGACGGCCCAGGACGAGCAGCTCTGGGGGGGTCGGGCTAGGTCCTTGTTTCAGCTTGTTCATTTTGCCAGCCAGCCAGCCAGCCAGCCGGGCAGTCAGGCATCCAGGCAGCCAACGAGGAGACAATACTTTAATTAACAATTCCCTTTCCCCTCCTGGCACCGCCCCACTCTGCGAACAGAGGGGTGTAGAGTGTGTAAAAAACCTGTACAAATGAGTCGGTTGTCCTGGTTGTCCTGGCAAACACTGCGGGCGGTGGCCAGCGCGGCGCACTAACCGCCCGGCAATCGCCAGGAACAACAACCCACAATAACAGCCGAAGCACAGCAGAAGCACAGCGGAAGCAACAAAAACTGCTGGCCAGTTTTAAAACATTTGGCCAGAGACAGAGGCAGAGGCAGCAGCAACGCGGGGACAGGCACAAAAGTCATTAACGCTGAGGCTACCGAAGCTGACTGGGCCTGGACATGGCCCAGATGTAAAAACATGACCAGTGTGGCAAAAAACTCAACGGTCGCCTCCACGGCAACAATGGAAAAAAGGAGGCCTTCTAGGGACTACTCTCCGGACTCCAGAGTGACCTGTAAATTGTTAAATTTAAGCTACAAAAGGGTTTGGGCGATTGGTATTTGCGCAAAAACAGCGAAACAATAGGGTTTGGCTGAGAGCTCATCAAGGCGCCACCTATGGCTGACTGATCAAAGCTAAGCGGGGGGTCAAAAGGGGGGTTAGAGTGGGGGTTAAAGTGGCGGTTAGCTAAAGGGGGTTAAATGGAAACTGTAATTATTGAGTAGCTAGGAAAAAAAACACCCTTGAATGTTCTGTTTATCGATTTGGGTTGCTGATTTAACTTTTAATTGCTTAACACTCTATTTGCAAAGAGAAATTACAAGGGAAACAAGGGTTAATAAGATATGAAAAACAAGGGGTAATCGGAGAAGTAACCTTTAATTAATGACCCTTCAGAAATTTTTGGTTTATCATTAAATTAAGAACTAAAAACATTTTAAGACTTTTAATAGTTCCATCAGTTTATAGAATAATACATTCTCGTAATATTTTCTAAAATTCTATTTTATTAACTATTGTTATATAAAATACATAATTTTTATCAATAATTAATTCCTAGTTCGATTTCTTCCAAATGAAAACCTTCTAAATGAATGCAGCCTCCAGCTAAAAACCAAGATTAAAGTAACAAAACATGGGCTTGGAAGATCTGCTATTGCAGAGAACCCATTAAGCCCTTGCCAGGTACTGGGAAGCCACACTTTGTATGTGTGTGTGTAATATCCAAGTGTGAAAAAGTGTGCACCGAACTATGCACACGCACGACAAGGATGACGAGGAGGCTTCCGGGAAAGAGACGGAGACGGAGCCGTAGCCCGTTGCCGTAAACGTAGCCGTTGTGGAACAACAACTGCGAGGCGAAAACTAAAATGAAATGAAAAGCTTCGGCAAGGATTACTACCAAAAATTAATGAAAGCAAACTGGCTGCGGTCATTTGCCGTGGTCAACGGTCGGCCAAGGCTTAATTGCCAAAGACGATGACGATGACGATGTTGTGGACACAGAGTGAGGAAGAGAGAGGGGGGCTGTGAGTGTGGTCAAGAATACAGGTTACACTTTAGTGACTGCCGCAGGAGGGACCAGAAGGACATGGACTCGGACTCGAACTGGGCTCGAGGCTAATTGTGAATGCGGCGGGGACTCGAGCTCGGACTTGGACGACTCATTAGAGTGGCTTTGGTTACGGCCCAAAAAACCTGCGAGGGTTGCAGGACTCACTCGCAGCCAGGACTCGCACACAGCCTCGGACGGAACGCTCGGCTGAGCCTGGCTGCCTGCCTGCCTGGTTAAGTGCACTCCAAAGGTCATTTAACCTCTGACTGGGCGGGTTTTCAATGTTCTCAACGCACCGGTGGTGGCTTCAGGACCCCCTGCAGTCGCTGGCGACTTTTTGGCCCAGTTCACATTCAATTAAGCCACGTTAGCCCAAGCTGCAGGCGTAGACCAAACGGATTTGATGGGTTTTATTTTGGGAATTTTCAAAGAAATAAAAATAAAGTTGGCAAAGGAAATTCAGTAAAAAATAGTGATAGTAAAAATAAACCCTAAAAGGATTTACCACAACCTGATTTTTTTAATGTAACTCCATAATATCTTTCTCTACAGAAAAATGCTTTCAATTGTGGCTGGAAGTAACGATGGAACTGCTTTATTTATTGGCATAAACTTCACTTGCAAATCACTTCAGTTTGTTTCTCATTTTTGCGCCCGCAGCATGCTGCCGACTGCTGCTCTCATTCGTTCACACATTGCACCTTTAAGAGCCATTTGTAGTAGTTGTTAATGGCATTGTTATCCTGGATGCAGTCGTGTGCTTCTCGTGCTTTTTATTGTTTTTTGCCCACTTTCCTTTTGCCATTTCAACGCGTTGCCATAATGGGCCAATTGTCCTTAAATGCGGAGCGTGTTCCGCTCGCTAAGTTGGCTCTGGCCTCTGGTCCCTGGCTCAGACTCTGGCCACTGTGGCCGTGGTAATGGCCCTGGCCCTGGCCAAGACCAGGGGCCAGTGGTCAAGTCGGAGTCCGAAAACTTTGTCTGTGCTGGCCCCTGTTTAATGTGCACGTAATTGAAATGCATTTTCAATTGAATTATAAACAGAGCAAACAAATGCGGCACCAGGACTCGCACATACATTTACATGAATTCACACTTGAGTGCGGGGGAGATGCGGGATGAGCGGCAGGGAATGTTGCCAACTTGCATTGTGTAAACTTTCTGTTCGGAGGCAGCAGCTGAGCTCAAAACTCGAGGTCCTTGCGCTTCGCTTCTGCTCTTCTTTCGCCTCGCAATCGGCAATCAAATCAACCGTTCCCTAGGAAGCCGTGTCCATTCTACATATTCCTATATGTATGTGTGTGTGTCTGTCTTTGTGCTTGTGGATGTGTTAGTGCACTAGGGTGATTCTTAGAATTCATAGATAATTTTTTAAGATTTTTTTGAGTAAAAATAGAATTGTTTTTCTGCATTAAAAATAGGATTTAAGTAATATTACTCATACGCAGTGTTAGCCTTAGAAGGATTGTTTAACTTGTATTTATTTTTCTCTTGTTAGCTGGTTTTCGGAGTTATACAAGATTTTTTACCAAATAAACATTATTGTTTTCTTTTTTTTTAGAAATATTTTCTGAAGTAATATTACTCATACGCAGAGTTGGCCATAGAAACACATTTTCTTTATTTTTATTTCCCACTTTTTCAATCCACCCTAACCAGTTTTTAGGATACAGGTTACTATGGTCACGTCGGCCATTTCTGTGAGTGCCTGTCTGGGGGATCTGGCCTCGCCTTGGCCATTCTACACTCGCCGAAGCCCATTGAATATCAATTTTGCATGTGGGAAATGGCATCGGAAACTTCGATTTCAATTCGGACATGACCAAGTTTCCCCTGACAGTTCTGTGATTTCTTCCAGTGTGTGTGCAGCAGTTGCCGTTTCTGTTGTGGCATTTATGCCATTCCAGTCATCAGTTGGGACTTGTGCAATTTCGGAACTTTCCGACAGCTGATTTCAATAACTAATAGGCAGAAGTGGTCAGCAAAGCCGCCCCCCATGTCTAGCCCCTTTTGTTGCACTCTAATT